CATTTACTAATATATTCTATTTGTTACAAAAGGAGTTTCTTTTTATTTCTTTGGGTTAAGTTATGTGAAATTTCATTTAAATGCACAAAGAAGGTGCACAATATTTTACATAAAAGGACTTTGAATTACCCTTCGGGGTGGCCCAGTGGTTTGGGCTTGGGATTTCCATGTTGGAGGTCTCAAGTTTGAAACCCCCTGCCAGCAAAAGTAAGGGGTTTGCCTTCTGGGTCGAGCTCGTCGCACCGGGATTGCCTAGTGCGGGTTACCTCTCCTATGTGGTTTGCGAGCTATTCCAAAGGGTAGCGGTTGTGGGTTTCCCTTGTCATCAAAAAAATAAAAGGACTTTGAATTCCCTTTTTCCACTGTAGGGAATCTATAAATCCTTCACAGTTGCATAAATAACTAAAGTCATGTACCACTATAAGTTCAGACTTTGTAAAAAATTAAATCTAAAGCAAAAAGTAGCTGTGATTTCTCTTCAAACATTTATTATTTCTTTCCCTCCCGACTGTTCATCAAAAAATACATGCTGTTTCTGCCTGTCATGTTTTCATTTTTCAACATTTTTCCCTTGCTAGCTTTCAGCTGCTGCCCTAACTGATCCTGGCAAGACCTAATATGCTCCAAGTATGTTTAGGAACACACACCTGAATTCCCAAGCATAACCACAGTGCAAAGTGACCAGGAGTTTCTGTAGTTCTCAAGCACAGAAAACAACTCCTACAACAATTACCCCTCAATCCCAAACAAGTTGGGATCAGCTATTATGAATCCTCAGTTCCTCACTGTCCATGTTATTCCATTTAAACTCTTCTCGTGCCGATATTATGTAAATACAAATAAAATCCTCTTCTCTACACATTCTAAGTAAGACAAGCTTCATGCATAACTATTCACTCAAAACATGTTGCTTTAGCGTGGAAAAGGGCTTTTGACCTCCATACCATATTCCATGGCCAACACTGTTCCATTTCCTCTGTTCTATGTAAGCTGTTGTAACATGATTTAACAGAAAATATAGCATTTTTGTTTGGTCTGCTTCTAAGGATCAGAGTTATCGTGCAGCTCCTTCTATTTCTCAATTAAGCATATTAGTTGAGTGGCAGTCTACCTTGCAGTCATTAGATAGCTCCTGACATAAGTTAGGTCCCCATCTCCCAATATGCATACAATAGTTGCATTCTGATTCATCACAATTGTGTAGAGGTATGAGAAGCTTCGCCTAACGGATTTCTCTTCATTCCATTCATCTTGCCACATCCTAATCTTACCCTCTAAGAAAAATTTGATTAAATGTTGGAACTCCTTCCTGGTGCTTTCTTATATTTTTAGAGAGTCCTTTCCAAGCGCTTGGTTGTTGACATTTATAAAGTCCTTACCTGTTTAGAAAACACTTCTCTTCCATCTCTCCTCCACAAGACTACTAATTTATTAAGATAAAATGTGAAAGGTTTCACCTCGGTTTATAAAAATACTTCATGAGGACTCATTATTTATGGACAAGTATTGTAAAACTCTGTTTCAGACTTTCAGTGCACCAAGAAAGTGAAAAACATCTACATAGAAAAGAACTCTGAATTCACTTTTAGCACTACGATGAATCTATTTAACCCACAAAAGAATTACACAATGAACAAAAGACATGTTACACCAATTAAACGCTATAACACCTATACTTCAAGCAAAAAATAGTCATGACTTTGTATTCAAAAGATCTATGAATTCTTTCTTTGGACATTTAGTAAAAAACTATTTGTTGGTGTACTGTGACTTTCATGCGCGTCTGCTTCTCCTTTCAACTTTGGCACTTGCCAGCTTTCAACTGTGTAGTTAGCTGATCCTGGCATAAACAGCTACACTCCAAATATGCTTAGGAACATACCGGATGTCCCAATTATAATTGCAGTGATATGAATAGGTGATATGGGCTTTCATATTTCTCCAGCGCAATAAAAACCTGTTGGACAAACTAACCTATTTTCTACAGGTTGCACTGAGTGACAAATGCCGCAGACATAGCAATTCATTGTAACCATGCTGTTCTAGGAGAAGCTTTTGACCTCCATTTCATTTTACATGGGCAACGTTGTTCATTTCCTCTGTTTGCATAAACTGTTGTAATATCATTTAAGTTTGTCATGTAAATTAATAGAAACTATTATCGATTTCTTCTGGTCTCCACTTCAAAGAATTAGGTCTATTGCCTAGCACCTTCAATTCTCAATTCTGCATAAAGGTTGAGCAGATTTATCTACTTCCTGATCAAATAGGTTCCTCCTCCCAACTGCACTTTACAATACTTTATCATGTGCCTAGAGGAACTAAAACGTTAAACAGAACAAGACCAACATCATCGGTTACCCCTAAAATCCATCATTCAACTCAACACTCCTAGTCAATCACTTCATAGGTATGTTTATAACAAATCCAACTGGTTTATGAATCCATAACTGATATAAGCATTCCACTTAGCTAGAATCCAAGGAGACAAAAAGAAAACCAGAGGGAACAGTTCAGGTACAATAACTACATAAAGTATTTGTTAATACTTATTAGCTAAACAGCTTGGCATTTAATTAGATTACTACAGGATTGACCATACTAAAATGGAGAGAGCTGAAGTAAATGGATATAATACCTCTCCAGTGGGATCCAATGCACCAAGATATTGAAGAATAGCTTGCTGCTTCTCAAAAGCATCAGCAAATGTAACTTCACTACCTCTCCCTACTACATACTGCTTCAGAGTCCCCAACTTCTTTGCTCTGCCCAATTCATCCGCAAATCCTAAATTCAAACAGAGTGAGTACACAATAACTTAAAAAAACTAGAATCTCGAAATACATAAACTTCAAACCCTGATTGAAGCCAATAATCTACATTTACTATAGTTAAAGTGGTGTAGAAAACTTACGAAGGAGAGTGAATGACTCGGAAATGGGTACTTTGGCGGCATCAGGGGAGGTTTTTTGGCCGGTGAATACACTTTTAATATTGTTGATCCATGAACCATGGAGTTGCGTTGTGGAAGAAATCCATCTGTGAGAGATTGATGATGAGTTTGAGCAGTAAAACAGTAGGGTTCGAGGACGAATCATATATGAATTACTGTCTGTTCGTCTCTTTGATTTGCTATCTGTTTTTGAATCAGATGAACATGAGACTGATGACTGAGGGGTTTAGTTAGGGATTCATAGAACGACGTCGCTCCGATAAAAATTGAGAAATTAGAAAGCCTAGAGAGTTTTTTTTATTTTTTATTGAATTCTCTTTCATATATGTTCATGAACAAACCTCCGTAAGGTCATTTAGTGTAACATCAAGATTATTTCCAGCATAAATAAAAAAGACACTTATTTGTGCATAAATTGGAAGACCACCATTAACGTATAGATATCATCGTGAGACTTGGAGATGATAGTAGTGTTAATTTTAGTGACAGAATCGAAATTGGTAATACTCAATTTCACTTAGAAGTAGAGTACATGTGCATGTATTTGAAAGAGTTGCATTCCATACTTGTTGTCCTTCACTCAATCCTAATTTTGCTTGGCTAATTTCAATACCAGGATTGCACATGGAACTCTTAATGCCTTCATACATAAGAGCAAGACAAAGCACTAAACAAAGAACTTTGATGAATGTTGTCATTGAAAATTTTGTGTTAGCAATCCTTAAGTGAAGTATTGCTTTTATCTAAATTATTAGAGAGTTCTTCTATAACTCACCAAAAACATAAAAGTAGCAAGAGTAGGAGAAAATACCATAAATAGTCCTTTTTAGTATAGATTTTTAACTATTCAAAACGTTATTAAGTTTGGTGTGTTAACTATTCACTTACCGGTTTTTGTTCTTTTAAGTATTATGATGTTGTTCAGCCAACATAACAATTCATTTCATTTGCGAGAAGGAAATGAGAGGAACTTCCAAGTTCCAACTTGAATGGAAAGCACTGCATCTGTTTCTTAATGATGGTAGCATCCAAACCAACTTGCCCACTTAATTGATAGTTGTTTCGACCAAGATCTGTATAACGGTTCTAATTTATTTATGGTTCAGCTAAGGTACATAAGAAATGTATTGAATCGATTCTTTTTAATAAATAGATCCGATAGCAACACCTAGACCCCGAGAAATTAAAGAAAGAAAAAATAAAGGAGATCTAATATAATTCCAAATACCTATATAATGATATTTATTTAAAAAGTATCCATAAATAGATACACATCAAAGAAGTTAAAGCTAAAAAAATTGTACTCCATGAAAATCAGATACTACTCAGATAAGATGGCACTGCAAGTTTGCGGACACCGTATACAACCCAGGAAGCCACAAAAAGATGCAGAAGGAAAAGCAGTTGTAGGTTGGTGTTGTACTTGACTTTTGGTGGTTCACATGGATAGATTGATGAACAAAAATTTTCAGAAGTAGCAAACAAAGGAACATAAGAATTCATTGAAGAACCTCACCGATCACTGTCGTTTGTGAGAATATATCCATACAATTGTAGCCATTATTGTTGTTAAAACACCAGGGAAGAAAGTGAAAGAAAAACAAGAAGTAGATAATCAAATGAAGGATGGGGAAAAGTGAAGAACCTTTTTCCTATACCTGCAACTCCTGTCGCCTCAGATTAAAAATATGATGTAGGAGTCAATGAAATGGTTGAAAACTATGGCAAACTAGAGTTCAAATCGCAATAGAGAGAAAAATATGTTACTCAGTACCTGTGTCGATATAAAGTAGACATGTATTCAGTAGTATACTCGAGGTATTCACAAGCTCGACATAAGCACTACCGTTATCACAAAAAGGGAGCACCCCCGTGCACAAAGCACTCCCGCGTTAGCGGGGTCCATGGAAGGGGTGTGATGTAGCTGCATTATCTCAAGAAAGGAAAAAAGGAAAAACACAAGAGACAGAACTTAAGATGGTAATAGTTTACATTTTCTCAATAGAACTCCAAAAATCCCAAAGTTAGCATCCATATGCATATGAGTACACACAAATTATATGATCCAGTTCCGAAATCCTAACCAACCTCTCTATATGCTAACACCAATTGATTCTTTAGTAAATTAAAAACAAGCAATCATATTCAGTGTTTCTGAATTTCATGCAGTTTCCACAATCAGTAGTATCTGGGACCAGGTGGAGCATATACCCCAGGATGCTGTGCTCCAGAGGGATAATTTTCATGTGGTGGCCACGGAGCTGGAACCCCTTGTGGAGCGTATACCCCAGGATATTGTGCTCCAGAGGGATAATTTTCATGCTGTGGCCTCGGAGCTGGAACCCCTTGAGAAAAGCCTGATGGAAAGACAGAACGAAAGCCTAATGGAAAGACAGAACAAGTAAAATTAGAACTTGTTTGTTCTCCTTAACAACAATGATTATGCCAGAAATACATGGTGAGACTATGTATACATGAAGAATCACAGTCCAATAAGCCAAATAATAGTTTGAAGAGTTCTCTCCAATAACTGGTACTATCTGTTGTTTACTTTATTTTCCATTACTTCTTTTTCTAAACTCTTTTTATCTCGAGCCGAGAGTCTATCAGAACCAACCACTCTACCTCTAACTACAATTGCTTTCCACATTCGACCAGACACTACTAATTAGAGCACAAGGTCTTGTACTCTTTATCACATCAGAAAATTTGCAAACTAAGTCAACGTTCAAACAGTCGAGGCAAATAATGCAATACATCAGACATTGTCACTCCCCTTATACAATCATGTGAACTACTGTGTCACCAAAAGTTATGTGAAGCTTAAAAAGTCATACTACCAAATGTATTCCACTTGTTTCCAATGGTTCTCTTTCCTAGATTTTTTTCCATTTTTATCAGGGATAAGCTATTAAAATGCAGGCAATATGAAAAAGGAGTCGGAAAAAAGGCAATAGATCAGTTACCATATGGTGTAGCCATCCCCGATTCAAACGGTCCTCTTGAATCAGGAGGTAGATATCCAGAACCACCAGACATCCTCAGGTTGGGATCATTCATGCTGCCCTGGTGTAACTCAGCTGCATTCTGAGCTCCAGAACCACCAAACATCCTCAGGTTGGGATCATTCATGCTGCTCTGGTGTAACTCAGCTGCATTCCAAGCTCCAGAACCACCAGACATCCTCAGGTTGGGATCATTCATGCTGCTCTGGTGTAACTCAGCTGCATTCCGAGCTCCAGAACCACCAGACATACTCAGGTAGGGATCATTCATGCTGCTCTGGTGTAACTCAGCTGCATTCCAAGCTCCAGAACCCACATGAGACTCATAGATCCCTTCATGGATAGCTGATCTAGCTTCCATGTCAAATCCCCTTGAATCACCGTAGGCACTGTGACTTCCATGGTGACCGAAATCACCTATGGGGTTGTAACTGGAAGGGGTTGCGTAGAAGGTTTCATGAGGTGCTTGAAGTGGAGGCTGAGCATACGAACTATTTAGATGTCCACCTATCCAAAGTTAAAATAGATAAGCATGGGTTTTCCAAGAAATACAAGCAAAACAGTGATACAAGTTTCACAAAGAAGAAGCCAAAGGACCTGGTACATTTCTGAGACTGTGTGGTGATGAACCGCTGTACGACTGCTGGTATGCCTCAAAAGGGTACTGCATCGACAGGCTATTATGTGACTGCACAGAACTTTCACGAGAATAAGGGGTAACTTCCTTGTTTGAATTCATGTTTGCTTTCATCTCATCCAAGCATCTCTGAGCCTCCGCCCTGCCAAGTTCTTCAAATCGTACCTATGACAAGAAAAATAGAGAACAGCATGAATGAGAAACATGAAGACAAAAATTTACAGGACTGGTATAGCTGTTCTGAAATCATGCACCTCATCAAAGTACTCATCTGCTCGAGGCATGTCTTTGCTCATAGGTAAAACAAAATTCACTGCAAGGAAAATATTATAGGTTACACAAGAAAAGGGGAAATAATATAAGACAGCAGATTAGAGAGCTATAAAGTGTGTGCAAACACGGAACATCAATCTCTGTGGTACCTAACATCTGATTTACTGCTTCGGCAGGAACTTCTTTCCCCATTTCTTTGAACCGCTTCTCACCACGGAACTTGAGCTCTTCAGGTGTTGGAACAATCACAACAGCTATCTGATTCAGAGGCAAAACAAACAGAGATATTAGGATGCTTCATTAAAGGCCTATTAGGAGAGAAGTCAGCACAGACTCTTATCATCCTAAAAGTGCTCCCTTAGTGAGAACTGAGAACAACTTCTGTACCTTCTTATAGTTTGCAAAGGGCTTCAATTTGCGCTTCCGGGCATTTTTGTAGACATTTGTCTGATCAATTATGAAATTACGAGGAATCTGGGAAGCCCTAGACAAAAGAGTGTTGAATATACCAGTAGCACGATCCATTAAACGTTCAAATCTTCCACTATAATTTTGTTTGCGCTGCAAACCGGGAACCTGTTAAGGAGATGCATTACTTGTTATGGAAATAGCAACTGAAGCACAAGTTTTCCTGTTGCTAATAAATGAAAAAACACCAGCATCACTCTATTTTAAAAGCAAAAAAGGCGCAGTAAAATATGATACCTTCATTAGATCCAAAGCTAAATTAGTTCCAAGCAAAACATATCGCTTTTCTGGATGTTCCTTAACCCATTTCTCAGCCCAGGTACTCTTACCGGAAGCAGGTAGTCCTACCAGCATCATAACTTCACAATCGCACAGATTCGCAAAACTAGGGCCTGGAATGGCTTTCCCATCTTCCATGACACAAGACCACGGTTTATATCCTTCTACTGGAGCTAGTCCGTCATCTATGCTAAACTGCATGTGCACAACTACATTTTTAAGCAACACATGAGGGAAAAGAGCTGAATGCCAATGTAGATTTTTCATTGGGCAATCCACCACTTCAAGACCAGTTGGACCTGGTCCTGCATTAAATTGCTTTGATGTTCCCAGCCACTTTCCATTTTTAGAGAAACCTATGGAAGCCAGAGGGCTGGACTCAAGGTCAACACAACAAATTATTGTGTCACCAACCCCAAATCTTTCACCATAATTAGAAAACTTTCCTTGACTTGAAAATTTTCCAGTACCTCCAAACCCAAAACTGTGCAGGGTTTCCCCAAGGTTTCCTACAGCATCATCTCCCCTTGAGATGCCAACACGACAGATCTGTTGTTGGTCTAGTGGTGTATCTTCCATGTTTACGGGCTGCTCTGCAACAATTTTGCAACCAAAGCAGTACTTTCCTCCAGTGATTCCCATATTGGCTCGAGCACCTGACCAACAATATGCAAATCCATGTTCATAAAGCCCTGAACCTAGTAGTCCATTTCCTTCAACATTGAAATCTGAAAGGTAAAACAATCCACATCAAAACACAATACATTGATGAATAGACCAAAAAACAACACCTTCAAATAAAAACACAGCAAACAGATATGCCACTCAGCCACTGGCTAATTGGCTCTCTAATATTTTCTAGTTCTCCCATCCCCAAAGTCCAGTCTCAAGTTTAAAAAAGTAGTCCAACTGTAACTCAGCGAAAGAAAACTATGCACAAGCAACATATACTCACCTAAACATGGACAATTGTTATACCTACTACCAAACAAAATCACAGTTTTGTTCAACAAGTCACAAGGAAGCGCCATACACCAAGCCAGATATTCATGCACAACATAAATTACATGGTTGCCACAAAATCTCCGGTTTTAATAAAGTAACTTTCATGTCCTCATAATAGGAGTGTCATTGCACTGCTGGCACAAGCTAGAGGAACCGCCCATGAGACCTGGGTTCAAATCTGGGTAGAGCGCTATTTTAAATTATTTAAAAAAAAAAAAACTTTCATGTTCTTGCCATTGACTTTGGAAACGTAAGCTGCAATAAATCTAGTATAGTCCATTTACTCAAACACACATGCTAACGGCTAACCCCCCACCATCCGGGATTATTTGATCACTATATCGAATACTCATGAAAATTTTCTTTTCAGCTCACTTGTTCCCATAAAAGAATGCTCATAAAACCTATTTTGGCCTTCCGGTTCCAATACCCAATATGACTTTCTTTTCAGCTCACTTGTTCCCATGAAAGAATGCTCATAAAACCTATCTTGGCATTCCGGTTCCAATACCCAATATGACTCAACAACTAATAGTAGAATCTACCTAAGACAAAGCTGAGTTCCATAAATGTAAGTCTAGATGAACTAAACGTTGTTGGGAAATTATCATAAACATAATTCAAGATAGTATCTTTTTGTGAAACTTTAAAATCCAAACAGGAATTATTGTAGTCTTTTCTATTCAGCAATTATGCACCTTGCTATCCAATGTACCCCATACATTACAAAAGAGGAAATATTGATTATGGTTATGCACATTTTAAAAGTTGACACCAACCTTCAAGCACTAGTGTTGATCCACATTAAACAATTGTACTGATGCCCTTAAAGGTGACTTGTCAAACCTCAGCAAAATTTCATCTTTCATCTTTGATTGTCATTTGGGATTCATCCCACAATTCTATTATAGCATGTCATATTCAAACCTCCTCACACATGTCCCAGATACAGGAAAAACAAAGAGGAGACTATGACACCATGATTTGATATTGTCAATTGTCATACCAATAAAATTAGTACAACAAGATGAGACTGAAAAAAACGAAAGATCACCCATTCTTATGACAACATCAGGGATAAAGGCTGCGTTTTGTAAGACGAAATTAAAGTGACTTGGTGATGAGTTGTTTGACAATATTGATAACAGTTTCTTAGTTGAAAATATATAGCTCAGTTTGATATCTTCCACTTCTAGTACTACCCTAAGTCATCTATCTTTTCACAGTAGGGTTAGGGTTTACCATCCATTTCAAAGAAAAAAAATTAACCATACCATACCATACCAAACGCACAAAGCATTAAACAAAAACACATACAGGGGTTTCTAAAATTTGTCATATGAAAAGGGTATCCACAAAAAATTAAGTGACAATTCAAAATGTAAACGAAGAAAAAGGGGAATGTGATGTTCTTGCCTAAATCACAATCGGCAGCGTTAAGGAGAACCCTCGATGGAGCTACTGGAAGCTGTGATGTATCGTCTTCTTCAGCTTCATCAACCTTTGCTTTTTTCTTGGCACCAAGTTCATCAATCATACAAATATCACGTCTCTTCGACGCCATTGAAGAGATTTTCAGTTTTCTGATTCTTGAATTTTTAGTCTTAATGGAATTGTCTGATACTCCGAACAATTTAAGACTAATGAAATGCCTGATTGTTTTTATTGATATAACTGCGTTTGTCTTGTGTTAAGCAAAAACATTTACACGTGTCTTTTTTTTCTCGTGTGTAACGTATGACTTTTGTCACGATTAATTTGGATTTGTGCATAAGATGGAGGCTCGAACTCTAAACCTCGGTAATAGAGGAGATATTCTATTAATGTCACTACAATCTTCGATAAATGCTTTAGTTAGGGTATTTGTAATTTGATATCGATATGTAAGATTATTAAAGAAAGAATTATTGCCTACTAAAAAAAGTTCTCGCTTCATGCTCTCGAATCTAAGAATTTAAGGACAAATGAATCATATTCACCCCGACTAACCTAAATTGGTTTGAGTTATTCACGTAAAAATTTATATTTTGAGGTGATTTTTAATTGATTTTCTTAAATTTGATGGTTTTTAATTTTGGCGGAATGACTTGGGAGACTCTTGTACTTGACTTCGTTTGTCAGTTGGACCCTCATACTCATCACTTTGTCAACCAAACCCTTAAACTCATCAAAAACACAATATTTTAAACCCCTCTAACCATTGACCGAGCTTATGTGACATTAATATTGGTGAGTTGGAAATATGCGTGATTACACATGCTTGAAAGCGAGTAAAATCAATATTTTAGTTTTAAAAAAATCAATTTAACAAAATTAAAAAATGAAATTATCTTCTTCAACCCTCTTTCACCCATACCCACCATTTCTTCTTCTCCACCAGCCCTCTCTCCTCTACCCCTCACCACAGCCCTCAACTTTCTTCTTTCTCCAGCCTCACATTCACTCTTCTCCGCCTCTTCTTCTTCTTCTTCTTTTTAATACAAATCAGTACCCTCAACTTCTTCTAAAATTTTTATATTTTAGGTTTGAAAAATATTAGTATCATTCTTTTATTAGATGGTTTCAATGAGGAGATGCGGATAATGTGAAGTATGATTGTGACCATTGAAAATTTTAAAACTCCATTAATAAGCTTGGAAAAGCTTAAAAAATAATAAATGGGTCTTGTAAATTTGTAAAATTAATTAAAAAAATTTGATTGGGGTTCATTGAGTTTGTGTTGATGAACTTGTAGTTGAATTTACAAGTTAAATCAAGAAGAATTTGATCTATCGGGTATGAATCTAGTGCTCAATTTGTGACCAAATATGAAGAAGATGACTATTTGAAAAGTTTAAGAAATTAAAAAATTGATCTATTTGATTTCTTTTTATTTTTTTAGCACTTAATTTCGCATGTGGCACTAAAAATAATGTGAAATTCCATGTGTAATCGCGTCAATTACACGCACACTGACCGGGGGAGAAAATGGCTTAAAATGTTGTATTTTGATGGGTTTAAGGGTTTAGTTGGCAAAGTGATGAGTATGAGGGTTCAACTGTCAAACGGAGCCAAGTACAAGGGTCTTTCAGGTCATTCCGCCTTTAATTTTTGTATCATAATGTTACAAGTTATGTCTTATAAAACAAAAAAAGTTGGGTTATGCTATATCACTTAATTCCTAGAGAATTTATGTTGTAATAGGCAAAAAAATCAATTTCACAATCTACAAATTATGTCGTAAAAGAAATATCTCAATTCTTACAAAACCTATGTCCTAAGAGCAAAAAAAAGTTTCTAATCTTATGTTGAGCGGATTAATTATAGAAATACTACACAATTGATCATGCCTTAACTTAATTCCTACTAAACTTATATTGTGAGATATAAAAGTTCAGAGAACTTACTTCGAGCAAATTAGGTCATAAATAAGTATATTTGATGTGCACTTTTTTAAATGAGTCAAAATATAAAGACCACCCTAAAATAATGACAAATCATGCAAATACTTTAGTTGAATTTGCGTGTTGTAAGATCTATTAAACGAGAAAGTGTTGCCTATCAAACTTTATATACATTATTTTGGAGGTGAGAGTGAGCCAAATCTGCAATCTTTAATTAAGAATACAGTTAAAACTAATAGTAATTTCATAAGTGGAGAGTCTGGAAGGATAGAGTGTCAGCAGACCTTATCAATACCTTGTAGAGATAAAAGCATTATTTTTAATAGACCCTCAACTTAAAATAAAGCATTCAAACAACTAGGAAAAGAAAATGCATAAGTGCAACGAAATAATGTGAAATAAGAATAAAACGCAACATATAAAGAAAAGAACAATAATAACAACAAATAATGTGATAATCGAAACACGTGCACACTAAAAAAAAAAAAGTGATCATCGCAATCAAAAAAAAAAAATTAAAAGAAAAAAGTGATCATCGAAATAAAATAATAATAATAAAAAACTAATATTGCTGCTAAAATAGAATATCAAAGTACAATGACAGTTAAACCTTTCTAGTCAATCTTCATTGTATCTTCAAAACAATGATTCTCCATAATTGGATATAACCTTATTTAATTTTCTAGTCAAGGTACCTTTTAAAAAGAAAATTATTTCCTCTCATTAAAATCTGTAATAGCTACATTTTAAAAAAAAATTATTTCCTCAAACATTCCAGTTTCTTGGATTTTCATTTAAAATTATGAAATGTCTTCTTCTAGTTAAATTCTCTTTAATTTCTTCCTTTAAAATATGAGATTATTTAAGTGTTCTGGGGTGCTAACTTATTTTTGTAGATGCATTAAGTTACAATAGTGCAAGAGTAACTTAAATTTATGTCAATACAACAAATTTATGGTAAAGTATCTTTGTGAGTTGCTAACACCCCCTTTATAAAAAAAAAGATCGTTTTGTATTCATAATTCAATCATTACTAAAGTATTTAACGTTTTTATGATTTCAGATAAATACTCACCATCTCTAATATTAATAATAAAAACCCATCACTATACACTTGATTAATTGAACACATTCTTCCCCATAATTTACCAAATACACATAACATCACAAAATTATAAAGCAACTTACAAGTTTTAATTGAATGTGGAAAGACAATTCTCATTTAATTTACTAAATGATACTATAGCTATGTACAACCTAATTCTTATGACATTAGAAGCGCCACAAAAAAGGCCTTCAAACAGAATCCCCAAAAATCATCTTCAATGAAAGGATTGAAGAAATAACACTAACAAATATTTCTCCTAGAGACTAAAAAGCCTATATGATTTCTACAACAACAATACCTCTAAAACTCAGCATTCATCGGCATATATGACTCTCTTTGCAGCCAATTATCATCATCATCGTCTTCTGATGCAAACAAGGCAACAGAAATATCATCCATTTTCTTCTTGCTTAACTTCAACTTTCGAACTTTCAATTGCCTCGGAGCATTTGGTGCTTCAACATCATTAAATTCACCCAAATCCTCGATTGCATTCTTGAAACTAACCGTCTTTCTTGGTGTTGCATACTCAAAATGCAACCTTTTTGCAATCACAGCCTGTTCATTCCACCAAAAGAACCATTATAACTACAAATGTAATTATTGTATTAAATTCAATTCCTTTTCTGTTTTGTGCTTCGTTTTTCAAAAAACCCTAACTTACCGCCTCTCGAATTGCCCTTGATACACGAAACAGCCTCTTCAAATCATCATGATCAACTCCACACACTATCCTAATCTGCCAAATTAATTAGGTAAAATTATAACAGTGAACAGAGCAAAATAAGCTCATTGAAAAAGCATCTTCCCACCATTAACATCAACAATTACAATACACTCTAATAGAATTACTTACCAAAATATCTTGAGGCAAATCTTCAATTGGAGACTTGTCATAATTAAAAAGCGAATTATGACTGCACACTTTCTTCATATGTATTGTAGAACTGAAATCAACATCCAGTATAACTCTCTTCCTCCCAAACGAACTACTTCTCACTAGCCCCGACCCGTAACTTCCACATTTTTTCCCCAATGCCATTTCCCTTCCTCTTAATCAAAATCAAATTCGCAAAACCTGATTATTATTTTTTACAACAAAACCAATCAGAATTACCCAAATCCAACAAAACTCTTGAAATATAGTAATTAATTTTAGCAATTGCGAATCAATATACCTTGAAATGAAGCCCTAATTTGCGCCGCCCGATTGAAATAACGTATATTCTTCTGAACAAATGAAACCGCCTTTCTACTTTCTTTCAAGTTGTAAACCAACTTCCTTATATACACATGTCCTTTTTTCAAAATAAATAATAAATACTTTAATTGAATCTTGCCTAGAAGCCACTCGAATTCTCCCATTAAAATATCTCTTGGGGTTTGTGTTTTTGAATCTAATCAAGAGGGAAAGAAGAAAACTAGCCGTTTGAAAAGGACACGTGGCAGTACAGGAATGGTTGAAGGAGAGAGAAAAGGTAGTTTGGATGACGAGGGAGTGTTGGTCGGTTCCATGTCAGCAGGTCAGTAACTTATCTAACACGTTCGACGTTCTTAGACGTCTTCAGTGGATATTACTATTATCACCTGACACGTGGTTTTGATTGAATGAGATGCTTACACGTCATTGAATGTACAGATAAACGGTGAGGATTTGTTGACAAGTACATAGAAATAATTTTTAGTGAATGGTCTACTAGATCCTTCTTAGAGAAGTAGTCTTAAAAGGCGGTTGTTACTGTTTTAACTCTTTATCGGTGCACCCTTAGTTAGAAGAGATTTCTAATTTATGTCTTAGATATGAAGAAAATTTTGTGATTCGGAAGGACTCTAATATGGACTTCAGTTATCAGTGTCAGACATCGAGTGAGAAATAAAAAAAATTATCCCCTCAATCTTAATTTATGTGACACTTTTCATTTTTTGAGATTCAAACAGTTTAAGTTTGATCAGAAATTTGCGCATGAAATCTTCAATTTTTTTGAAATGAAATTTATATATTTGTAAACTACGTAAAAAGTATTATAAGTCACAATAATTGATAATTCAAAATATTTAAAAAATCTATCAAAAAATTTACGATCAAAAATAGATTTATTTGAATGTCAAAATCTGAGATAAAATGAAACGGAGGGAGTATGACAGAGGTGGAGAACAGGGTCAAAACAAGGTCAACGCATTTACGAGTTGTAATTTTTTTGTATTGTTTGAAAATTTTAAGGAGTCGTGTAAAGATAATTGGAGGATTTTTTTTTAAAATTTTTAGATAAGGATGGTAAGAACATATAGTTATCCTTATGTTATTGGATATGCATTATCTAGTTGGAAGCCTTTTGTAAATAGTTTTTTCTTCTTAATAAAATAAAATAAAAGTAAGGTTTATGTATGTTATATCTGACTTAAACCTTATTTATAGAAATATATAGAATCTGTTGTTGTTGTTTTGGTAAAGCATATATTTTTGTAGGTTGTGTATCAATTGGTTTGATTTGATTGTGAAGTTTATTAGTTCAACTTATTGGTTATCGATTTGTAGAGATGTTAATCTGGAATAGTATCATTAATATATTCGTTTGTCGGTTATTGATTGTTATCGGTTCGGTTTAACCGTTAAGCTTTGACAAAAAAAAATTATGGAGGTGACAAATCAAATAAATCATGCACATGAGTTCACAAATTACATCTTTTAAAAAACAACCAGTTTTACATTGTTGAATAATCAAGAGTTTGAGACAAACAGAAATAAAAATAGGAACTAACCTTAAGTCAAGGCGTTCATATATATAAATGGTATAAAACTATAAATATAGTTATTTAATTTATTATCGGGTTATCAGTTAAACCATTAAGAAAAAACCTCAAATCGTTAAGATTAGATAACCTAATAACAAAAAAAATCAAAACCGTTATCAAAACTGCTACACTAATAGACCATTACTAATAAAATAATAATTTTTTTCGATTCGAATTATCGATTTCGATTCGATTTTCAACCGCCTGTTGGTTAGATATTATATTCTTCAGCTACACAAACTGATTTGGTTTATAAATTGTTCGGTATTAGAATACATGGAAGTTGTTGGTTTAATATTAATGCAGGTCGCCTATAAGTAAAATGTAGTCTTTAATTTTACCACACAAACTCGTTCTCTCATAAATGTTGTCCAAGTAGCTCCAAAATACTAAATTTAGAATGAAGATAATTTAACACTGAATAAATTTATATAAAGTAGATGAAATAAAGGCTATCCTTCAAATTCAACCATCGCACACTCCAAAATTTAAAGCTAAGGTTTCATTTTTTAAAATGTCCTCTTGCCTCAATTATTCTTGAAAATTTAGTTCTGCTCAAACTCTTTATGAACTTCATAATTTAGTACTTATAAGCCTGAAAAAACAACTTTCTCCACCACTATAATTATCGACTTCTCCAACTAAAATAACATACATATCAACGTGATCAAAATTTCGGTATATTATCTAAAAGGTGTCAAAATTACTAGGTGATTTTTTAAAAGATTCTCAAGAATCTTTAAGATAAGAATACATCTCACTCATAAGAACATAAGAATGCTCTATTTATCCTTTAGCCCGTCGAACACACAATCAATATAGTGAAACTGAAATGTCTAACCAACCAAGTTGAGTGCACGTTTATGTCAAGGAGTGATATTTTGTAATATATATGTTGGTGTGACATCTTAATATTAATAAAAATATATTATAAGTCACATTATATATCATGTTATGTCTATTTGTGGACATTATATTTGTGCTTCTTTACTCATCAATTGTGGAAGAAAGTGGTCATAGTTTTTAGTAACTTATGTAACCACCAACTCTTCATTTCACTCATTATTCTATCTTTATGTCTTGTACTTATGTAACATTTGAGTCATTCATTTGACAAATTTACTATCCACTATCTTCCTATTTATTGGAAGAAAGAATTCATCACCTATAAATAGTGTGGTCTTCCTTTGTGTTAGGAAGAAGTAGAAGAATGAAGAGATGCACAAGAAAATATAGAGTGAAAAAGATGAATAGTATTATATTGTGTATATTGAGTTAATGTAGTGAAAGAGAGAGTTGAGACAAAGAAAATATTCTAAGTCTTCAACTATATTCACTATACAAAGAGAGTAATTATATTTTGAAGGAAGGTGTTCTTGTTGTGGAGCTTTGGACTCAATCCAAAGTTGTTTGAGTTGTACGACGTTATTGGGTTGTTGTATCATGGAGGGGACAAGTCAAGAGTGATGTTGCTGGATCGGTGTAGATTATGCCGCAATGAGCTTGAATCTCCTTAAAGAGAGCGAGTTTATTCATTTTTGTTCATTTTATTTCAACTGTAATTTATATTAGTTGTGGTATATTACACCAACAATTTTAAGGAGGCTCATGTTTGTTACAGTTTGAAAGAGTTCAGATATCAAGATAGGGATATTAAAAAAAGTATAACTTTTTAATATTTTTCATACATAATAATCGTCGGAAATTCATCTATTCAATGTAGAAAATTGAAATAACTCACAACACAAGATAAAATTTGTCAAATAAGCATAGTTAGATAATCAACAAAACAAACAAACAAACTCATCATATCAATGCACAATAAATAAAAAATTACGTAAAAAATAAATGATTAAATTTGAATTTATATCGCAATTACGCATAAATATGAATAAAATAAATTATATGTCAATCATTATTTTAAAATTATAATTGAAAATTGATATCTCAATTTAGAAAAATATAAAGGTGACTGATGTAATACTTCACTTTGGCCAGAATTCTTATTTGTCTTTTTGTCAATTTTACATTTTTTTTTCTTTATTTTGTTTTTTTTAAAAAAAATTAAAATAAATAAATAAATATATTTATATATATTATCCTTATTTAGAAGTGGGACTTGGAAAGGACTAACACAACATCAAACACTTGTACTACAAGTAATGAAAATTGTACATTTAGAAGTGGGAGTTGGAAAGGACTAACACAGCATCAAACACTTGTACTACAAGTAATGAAAATTGTACCATAAACTTGGGCCCCATTTTATTTCTTTGTTTGCTTAGTATATACTATATAGTATAAAGTCATAATTATAAATTTCTCTGTCCTTTGTCTGATTGAAAAGGTGTCAACTTTCTACTTCTGGAAAGTTCCCTTTGGAATACGTAACGTACTGTCCTCCCTACAAAATCAAATAATTAACATCTATATAGAGAGCCTATAATTATCCTTATCACGTCGGTTTAAGTTTTGAGTATGAACTTTTTTTTTAATAAGGAGCATTTTTTGTCAAATGAGGCTTTACGCGGCTCATATTTAAAATAATTGAGCTTTAATATTGATATTGAATATTAGTCGTAAAACAAATTACAATATTTTTCTTATATTATCCTTGTGAGTTATTATTTTTGAAAAAATATATTTGACCGATATAGAAAAACTAGGTGAATAATTTATATTCATGATTAAATTAATTAATCAAAATAAATTAATTCATATTCATTAATGAAAAAGCTGACCTAAAAAAATTAAATAAAAATAAAATAGTAAACATACTTAATTTCTTAATATTTTTAAAATAAAAAAATTGTGACATATAAATAGGAACAGAAAAGGAGTATATATCATTTTTTCTAAAAATATACAGCACATCACATATTTTTAAATTAAGGAGACAGTTTAGCCTGGGGCTAGAGCTATTAGTTATTTTAACTTTTCTTATATAAAATAATGCATTTTCTTAGAATTTATACTTTCTTCGTTCTTAATTACGTGTTCATTTTTAAATTGGTACACCTATTAAAAAAAAAATTGACAGAGTGAGTTTACTATTTTACCCTTATTAATTATGAAATAGATGAATTAAAAACTTAAGAGTTTCAAGAAGTTCTACATTTGTCAAAGTATTAATTGATGGTATAATAGGTAAAAAAATTATACTTTCTTGATTTGTCAAAATGGAGAAGTAATTAAAGACAACTAAAAATGAAAAAGTGGATAAATAATTAGGGACAAAGAAAGTATTAAAGTATTAGTTATGTAAATCT